AAGAGTTAATTTATAACATAAGCAAAAAGTCTATCTATTTATACAAAATTTCTTTTGTCACAGCTAACTATTTACTACACTATAAACTAACTAATTTAGCAAAATAAAATATAAGTAAAATAAATATATTAAAAATATGTAAAATAATAAAAATATAAAATATAATAAAAATAATAATAAAATTTAGAATATTAAAATATGTATAACATTAAATATTCTTAGACTTCATTTAATTCGTAAAATTACGATTATTATCAGTATTTAGAAAATCTTCAGAATTATGTAGATCCTCCGTATTTTTAGAATTTATAGAATTCTCATTAAAAGATCGTCATATTGTGTCATCCATGTGACTTCATTATAACTGGCCAATTGCTCTGTTGACAATGATAAAAATTAATAAAAAGATAGAGAGATAGAGATTGTTTAAGAATTGATTGTCATTTTTATTTTAATTAATTATAAAACTTATGCAATCTCAATGTGATTTGCTAGTGATTAAAATAAAGGTGCTTAGGAACAGCCTGTATATATAATATTATATATTATAAAATATAATTTATTATTTGTACAATATGAAAATATATTAATACAATTTATAATTATTATTTTAATTTATCATATACAGTATACATAAATTTTATTATATATAAGATATATTATATATATATTTTATAAAATACAAATTCTTATAAAAAAATTAAATATAATATTAAAATTAAATATATAAAAATATAAAAATAAAAGCAAATAAAAAATTAAATATAATTTTAATAATAAAAAAAAATATTAATATTAAAGATGGTCTTTTAATTATTTTTAAATTTCAATTAAATTACAACTTAATTACACCATAAGAAATTTAATTGCATTACAAGTTGCAACTAAATTGCACTATTATTTTAATTATGACAACTATCTTTAATTAATATACTTTTAATTTAAAATAAGTAATCTTAATATTTATTTAAGAAATAATTTATTCATTGTATATGTGATATTATTGCTTCACTTTTTATCATTTATGTCACATCTTCCCTTTTTTCATTTTTTTATATATTTTAAGAACAGAGAAATTTTTAATATGTGAAACTCTATTTATTATCTTTATTCATATCATATAGTTTAAGTTAGGTTAGGGTTAAAAATAGTGTGTAATTTTAACAGTGAAATCATGTATGCTTGCATATAACTGATGATTTTTCACACACAATACTTTTTTAATATGTGCATAAATCTGTATTGTATATAATTATATACAGCCTATATGTCATGCACAATTTTACATAAATTTTACATAGTTGCACAATCTTCATATAATTCTATACAGTTACATACAATTTTACATAATCTTGTATAGTTACGTATAATTTTATATAATCTTACATAAATTCTACATAGTTTTGCATAATTCTACATAAATTCTGCATAGTTGCATATAAATTTTGCATTATGTAATTATTATTTCAGATCATCTAATTTTTATTTAAAAAAATTTGAACTAATTATAAATTATAGATAAATTTTTAGACTTTAATGATAGACGGTCAAAACTCCTACTAGTTTCATAAGTAGTTTAAAAACTTCTAATAGTTAATCTAAAACTAAAAGAAAAAATAAAAATAAGAATATTCTAACAATTAAAAAACTGAAAACTGCAACTTCTCTAAAAGAATAATAGTGTATTATATATAGTGACTGGTTAGAATATCGAGAGGTTAATAGGAAAGCTCTTATGTTTTATATCTGATATGAAAAAGTAGGCTATAATAATCAAATGGTTAAAGGATGTGATACTTACAAAAAAGATTTAGTCAATAGATATATTAAAAATCAGGAGTATACACTTTGAAAAAAATAAGAAAAATAAATCAGCTAAATATAATGCAAAGCTTATTTAATTATTTAACTAATAACAAGGAAAAAATAATTAACCAAATAAAATATGTGTATTTTGCAGCTAAAAATCATCTTTTACTAAATCTTTATTCTAAATATATAATTTAGTATTAAATTCTAATAGATTTTCAAAAATTATTACACTACAACTTCTTTAACTTCCTTCTCTTTCTTCTTTAAACTCACTTGCTGAAACTTTTCAATATAAATTATATAATAATTCAAAATATGTTTAAAAATTTGAAGAAGCAATTTTTTATATCATAAAAAAAGTATTAATTGATGAAATTAAAGCTTCTGAGTGATATAGTATTTTAATTAATAAACCAACAGCAATAATTAATGAAAAACACTTGATAATTGTCTCAAAATATATAGTAAATAATGTATTAGTATTATGTTATTTAAGATTGATAGAATTTGACGATTACAATGCTAATAATATTATAATATAAATAAAAAGTTTTTAAATAAAAAAGATTTACAAATTAAAAACATTGCTCATTTTGAAAGTAATGATACTTCTGTTATGACAGGTTAGTTGTAAATTATAATAAAAATAATTTAATATATAATTAGCTAATTCATATAATTATTTTTTATTTAGGAAATATTAATGGTGTAATAACACAATTAAAAAAAGAAAATCTTTTCATAACTTCTGTTCATTATATTACATATAGACTTCATTTAGCTGGCCAAGATGCTGCAAAAGAAGTAGTATATTTTAAAGAATATGAAGTTATTTGCAAACAATTATATGGATATTTCAGTGAATCATATATACAAATGCAAAATTTAAAGTTTATGCAAGATGTTAACAAAGATCCACAACTTACTATATTAAATATTATTAATACAAGATAGTTGTTTATGTCAAATGTTATACACAATTTCCATTAAGTTATTTTTTTAGTTATTGATGCTCTTAATAATGATATGATCAATGTAGACAATCCTAAATATAGAACTCTGATTTCTCAATTAGTTAATAATCTTAATTCAGAATTTATTATATCAATAATATTCTTGGCAGATTTAATGTACATTTTATCAAAAATGATCAAGATTTTTCAATGTGATCATGGAGATCTTTCAGAATTAAAGCATTCTTTAGAAATGATTATTTCAGCTATTAAAGCGCAATTTATTAGAACTGAAGAAGTTTCTCTAACATATGAAACAATTTTATATAAATATATGAAAGATAATAATATTCATTCTAATAGTATACCTTCTTTTTATTTTAAAATTTTCTGAAGCATTTATTAGAGTCTTAAAGAATCAATTTTTGTATTCAGAAGTTTACAATATACTAAGAATTTTCAATCCCAAATTTTTACCTTAGAAAGAAAGTGACATTGCATATTATGAAAATAATAAAATTAAAATTTTAGTAGAATATTATGAAAATGATCGTTTTTAGCTACTGGTAAAAATTTCCCATGTATTTTAATGAAGTAGAATTAAATTAAGAATGGAGGATGGCTAAGTAAATAATGAAATCAATCTATGATTTTGATTTTGTAAAAGGATGGAAACAATATGGAATACAAAATCACATTTTATTAATGATTACTCATTAATTTCTAAACTTATTAGGATAGCCTTGATAATTCCTCTTTCTAATGCTTATGTTAAGCGGATATTTTCCTATCATAAATTAACCAAGTCCAAATTAAGGAATCAGATGAATCATCGAATGGACCTGTATTCAATGAGCTAATGAATCTAATGAATAGAAATATTATATACTTGAACATTTTACATAATATTTTTTGTAAATAAATTTGAACATTTTATATAGTATTTTTTGTAAATATACTTGAACATTTTATGTAATATTTTTTTTGTATTCAATTAATAAAGCATTTATACATTATAAAAACTTGATAAATTTAATTAAAAATTTTTTTTGCGCACAGTTGAAAAATTATTTGTGTATCGTTGTGCGATATCTACGCACTACCCAACACAATTTCCGCACATGATTCCCATCATACATCCGCACATGTGTATAGGTTTCAAAATCATACAATGGTTAGAAAAGGTTAGGTAAGGAATATATATAAAGGCGATGTATAAGGAGTATCGCCCCCTTGCGATGAATAAATTTACTCTTTATTTAGAATATTTTTAAAAAATGTATAATGTATAATCTTAATTTTTATTTGGGTTTTATAAATTTAAAACTGATATTTTCTTATACATAAAAAACTATTATACAAATCAAATTTAAAACTCATTGAAAAATTATAATATAAGAATCATTAAAATACACGTTATTTCAAAATAAGATTTGGTTTATAAATATTCTATAAATCTGATTAGATGAAAAAATCATACTAGAAGATAAAACCTTTTGTTTAATTATACCAAAAAAAAAAAGGCAAAAAAAAGAGTGTAAGAAAGTGATTTAGTCATACTTTTCCTATAAACTTATTATTGCAATTATTGTCCTAATGAAATAGATATAAACTTAAATTTACTGATACTATAGAAATAGTATCTCTGTACTAGAAATCACGTGCTGATTATATACTACCGTGTGCATATTTCTTTTCCGCTTAACGGAAATGAAATATGCACACGGTAGTATGATTTACATAGTTCAGAAGGTCTGCTTGTGAATCATAAAATTCATCTAAACCTATCAACAAAATGTAACACGGACCTAACCGTAAAGGAAGTCGTATTTAAAATGATTGGACGTATAAAATAAAGTAAGTGAATTGAATCAGCAAAATATATTATTAAGATGGGCAGTCATGTTCTAAGTGAGATAGAGTAGATTGTAAAATTTTCTCTATATTATTGCTTTTCACTGTTTTCGCATTATCTTGTTTGTTATCTTCGCGAATTTCCACTTTATCTTTTTCTTGACCATTTAAATCTTCAATACTTGCTGTCCTTACGCCACGTCCAGCTAAATCTCCTTGTTTCACTACCGCCCCCTCAAAAAAATAAATGTGTGGCTCTAAAAATCGATATGGTTCAGACCTTTTACATAATGATGAACCACCGGGAAGTTTTTCATGAACTAGTTCCCATTTGAGCATTCGACACAGTTCAGGAATTATAATATCGCAATCGCCAAGAAGCTGTACGTCGAACTGCATATGCTTTATCGGTGTTCGGTTGATGACAATTTGAGGGACACGATGAGGAATTTGACCTATAAATAATTATTACATTTAAATTTATATAAGATATATCTAAATAATTTAAAGGATAATTACTTACCCATTATTTCGCTAACCGGGGCAACCTTTAAGCTACTTCCCATTACAATCAGAAGATCAATTTTTTCTCTATCTCTGGGGAATGATCGATCAAATTCTGGCGGAAGTTTTTCGCCAAAAAATACTATGTCAGGTTTCATTATAGAGACACTTTCTCCGATATCATTGTCTTCATCATCGGTGGTAACACATTTAGGACAATACGGAACTCGCTGGTTTAGAATGTCATCTTTGATCTCATTACCATCTACTTTATAGCCACACACAATACAACTTGCAGTTGCAAAGGATCCTATATTTTGCCAAACAAACAAAAAAAAAAAAAATATGTAAAACTTTAACCTAATTTTTTAATTGTATATTGCACAAAATAAAATAAAATATAATACCATGACATTGTAGAACATTTTTAATTCCAGCAGCTTGTTCAAGTGTATCTATATTTTGTGTGTAATTTCTTAACAGTTTTCCCTTTTCTTCCAATAGTTTTACAAAATAATGTGAAGGTGAAGGTGTGAAATTGCTGGGATAAATTTCCTGTAAATTTATATAGTGATAAATTCGAATCCATATATTGAAATGCTTATTTAAAAAATTTAATCTCAAATTAAGAAGTAAAAGTCAAAAATATGAAACAATAACCTTGGCAAATGAATAAAAGACTTCAGGACAATCTTTGAAATAATTGATATCGAACATATCTTGTGGGTCATCCAAGTCAAATTCAGATAACCTAGAATAAATACCATTTTCCGATCGGAAATCAGGAATGCCACATGACACAGATACCTGATAATTTCCCATACATTAATATTTTATCATAAGAAATCATTTTCCAGTAAATAAAAATTTTACAGACCCCTGCACCTGTCAAAACCATAATGTTGTTTGATTCTCGTAACAATCTGACTACGTCTTCTAAAGTATTAACGTTAGGTAATTTTGAACGTTGTCTGAGAAACTTCTGTACAACTTTACTAAGAACTTGAATTAATTGCACATCAGAAAAATTTATTTTTCCTGGCTATAATCCAACAATTCAAGGTATGAGAAATTAAAAGTATTTAGAATTCAATATAAATATATTTTATTTATTTTAACTAACCAATCTGTAATCAAAAGCATAAAATAATTTTTGAAGAGAAAGTCCTTTTTCAAAGAAATATTCTTGAATAAAATTTTGTGTTCCTAAAATGTAAATCTTAAGTTATAAAAGATGAAATTCATTACGCATATTAATAGAATATGGCAATATCAGAAACCTTTTTCTCGAGCCTCCTGCCTGTAATATTCAATTTCATCATCGTCCAAAGGCGGAATGTCTGTTTGGAGTTAAAGAAACTCTCATGTAAATTTAAATTTGGTATAGTAAAACCTTGGAAAAAATAAATAACAAAATATACTTAGGTCTTCCTCATCTAATAATAACGATTCATCATCTTCAACATTCTCATGACTCATTCGATCAATAATATCCTCAATGGATGAAGTTTCATTACTACTATCATTTGCATGATCACCCTCGTTCCAGTCTTCATCATCGTCATCGTCATAATCTTCATCACCTTCTTCCCTTTTTCCAATAAAAATACGATGTTTCCCAACCACATCGTCATCTAAAATATCTGCCGATTTTATATTGGCCCCCCCTTTAGAGTCTTCGATTATTTCGACAGCCTCTGGCTGCGATATGATTGTACCTTCTATTATATATTCTTTGGTAACTAGATTTTGGTTACTTGCTTCAAGACTAACTTGTAGAGTTCGTGCTGATGTTTGACACACCAGAATTGTCTCATCTGTTGCGGCGTGATTATGATTAACGGAATGATCTAAAGATGAAGTCAAACCTTCTTGATTTGAGAAATTAGCGGCCTCAACAGGAGCGATGGTTGAAATTGTATATGTATGTGAAGAAGAGAGAGTCGAAAAGCATGTCGGATACTGTGAATCATGATCCGATTCACCCACTCGTATACGTTTAGGCGAACCCAGACCTGTAATTTCAGCAGAATTCTCTTCACGTCTTCTTGTAAGCATGTTAATTAATACTTTTTTTTCAGACAAAATCAGACATAAATTTTCAGTCCCAAAGTTAAGACTATTTGCGAAGCGATTCAAAGACAACGGCAGTAATGAAAATATCACGAAGGTGTACTCTCGGGGGGCAAGATCTATTAATGATGGAAAGGGATTGCAACTTTTTGGTTTTTGAGATTAAAAAGTCTTGTTTGCTGAATTTTTGTGATGACTATTATTAATGTAGGACGGAATTTCTGTTTCGTTTAATTATTGGCTAGTTGAATAGAAGATCATCGCATATAGAATTGGTTCAATCACCTTCTGTATAGTTAAATCCCTTTTGTATATATATTAACTTAATCTAATTATATCTTGCTCTTATTTTATTTATGATAACATAAATTAGATTATTTATAAATTATCATGATCTATTTTTATATTTATTAGAATTTTCTAAATCTTTATACTAATATTACATTTTTTTAAAAAAAGTAAAGAAAGTTAACCAATTATTTGCTATATTACAGTCAGGGGATATACCAAAAAAGGAAACGGGTTCTAGAATATTCTATTGCAGATTCTTGAAACTTGATTGGCTCATTTATTCATTTTATACTTGTATTTTGAAAAAAATTTTTACAATATTTGTTCGATATAAAAACTTTTCAAACAGATAGAACAAGATGTCTAGTTTTTATAATCACAAATAATCCTACATAGTTAAGTTTATTCTGTTAAAGTAAATGAGAGCTTAAACTGAGTATTTACTTTATATATTATTAAATAGCATAAATAAAAAAACAAAATTTTATTTAACTAATTTTAATAATTTTTTTTTTGTAATGTTTACTTATCTAAAACTCAAAGCAAGAAATCTTCAATACATGTTTGCAGATCTAGCTGAAAAATATGAAATTGGATTAAAATCTTATGAAACTAAAGAATCACAAAAATGGAGATATGCTGATAATGAAAATACAGTTAAGAAACTTTTATAATATTATATTTATCTTCCTGAACTTGCTAACTGTCATTTTTCTTTGAATGTCTATTCAATTTGTGAAAGATACTATAATCAAACCATTGTTACTAATCAGTTTTATCAGCATCTTGTAGGTTCTGTTCAAAAGAATAAAAGGTTTCAGCTTGAGGATAATGATATCGATTCAATTGCTGATTTTGATGAAGCCAAAAAACTCTTAAAATCTATGTAAATAGAAAGTTAGCAGAAATTACAATCAATAGCGGACCTTAATAATCAAGTTATACAAATGCAAAATTATATAGAAGATCAAAAAAATAAAATAGCAGAGTTGAAGAAACAATTATAGCGAGTCTATAATAATATGAGTAAAATGCAAAACTTATATGATGAATAACAATGTAAAATTAATGAAATTCTTATTAGACAATAGAATTTAAGATTTGCTAACTAGCAAAAACGTGTCAACGTGATTATTGAGATAGCAAATACAGAATACGTATTATTATTTAATAATTTAGAATCACTAATTCAAAATAACAATAGATTTTCTATAGAGAATTTTATGATATATAGTTCTCAATAGGTGTAATAAAGTTATTGTAGCATTTATTGAAACTTTAGTTCAAAATGTTTAAAGTACTGATACTTTAAGTCAAGAAAAACTTTTTAAAACTGTTGTTGCAGTTGATTCAATATATGATGCATGATATAGAAAGTATGTTTCAGAAATCCAACTTGCTCTTTCAGCTATTAAGTATTCAATCACATGATCAAAGATGGTTATCAATATTAATAATCATATTACAAGCTCAGAAAATTACTTTCGATTTCAAAAATGGTTAGAAAAATTATCAAAGCAAGAAGAACCATTACCCGAAGGACTTTTATTTCTTGCATTTGATAATAAACAAAGAGGGCAAAAAAATTATCTTAACTGAGGCTATAATACAGTGATTTACCATATTGTTACTAGCTTCGTCACTTTTAATATGTTATCATAAAACAAAATTCAACATACTGATTCACCTTAGGCATATCACTCCCTTAATAAGTTACAGCTTGAAAAACTTTTTGATGTTAACTCTCAAATGTAAGAAGCTATTGATAAAAAATTATATAATTATCTTGCTAATATTCTTAATTTATTATCTGAAGAAAAATTATCCTCTACTAATGCAATTAATTCTCTTATAACATTTATAGGAACTAATATCACCAATATGAAGGAATGTTCTAATTGTCATCAACAAAATATTAAGAATCAAAAAAAAAATGCCCAATATGCAAAACACAATTGCCAACATTGACTGACATACAAAAAGAAAAAGTGGCCAAAATAATAACTAACAAAACTAACAATATCCTTATTTTCAAACTATATAGTTTTAACGATGAATTAAGCATCATACATGCCTCTAGGATTAGCATTACTTAACAACGAACTACTGATCAAAGAGTTAACATCTCTAATATTTATATTCCTAATCTGATTGATATTAACTCTAACTCTATTTCTAATATTAAAAAAGTTCTTTTGCATATAGAAAAAATAACAGGTATTAGAGATGGAATTCATAAGTAGATGGCAGTGATCTTTGATAGTGTCCCATATTATCATATTATAAAATTGAAAGATAAGTTTCCTTAGCTAGTACTTATACTAAGACATTGCATGAAAAAATGAATATGCTTCGATCATTTGTGGAATTAAACTGGTAAGTATTAATTGAAATTTTATTCGTTTTTCTGATTTTCAGATTTTTATTTACTTGATAACTTAAATTTTATATTAGGGAAATTGATATAAAATGATTTGCTGTATGCCAAGATTATCAAATAGATAATCAGCTTTCCTATTTAAAAAATGTGCGGATTATCATAAATCTTAAGATGCTATCTGTAATATATACCATCAGGTAATTTCTATGGAACTTATATAGCCATATGTAAAAGCAATTCTGAAATATTGGTTGAAGAATATCTTATATAGGCCAAAAACTAATAAGATTTGCTTTATCAGATAAAATATGAACAGGTAGATCACTATTAAACTTTGTACTTTTATAAATATTAACGTTAATTTTGTTTTATTATTATATTATTATAACAAACATTCGTTTATCTTCAAGCAATCAGAAAGCTATACAAACCAGCAATCCTTATTAAAGAGAGCTGCTAAAAAAATATATTTTCTTATTTGGTCTGCAAGACGTCATCCTATATATCACTTAATAGAAGTTTCTGATGAAATTCAATTAATGTGACTCCGTTCAGAAGTACAGAATATTATAGAAGAAAACTGCATCATATCTAGATCAGGCATTTACAATATCAAGGATTAAATGTGATATTAGAGAAGGTAAACAAGACCCTAAAACCTTTAATACCTCCTGTCCTGCAATATTATCATTAGAAAATAACCGCACGCAATTGTAAAAAGTTCCTTGAGGTAATTTTTTAATTTAATTAATTTAATTAGTAAAATACTAATAAATTTTACTTTATAATAAAATTTAGTTTAGAAATAACTTACTCAAAATAATCAGATATAACAATTATCAAACTGTTAGACCAAGAACTTGATCAGAATCATCTGTAGAATGCCAAAGATTTTGGGCTTATCTACAAAGTCTTGAATTTATAGATTAGAGTTTAGAAGAATATGGATTAAATAAAAATTTAAAAAATTCCATATTTTTGGCAAGACAAGCTTGGAAAAATTATATTATCAAAATATTTATTAATAAAAATAATTCTTCTTTATTCAGGTCTATACCAATTTTGAAATTAAAAGCGAAGGCTTAGAAAAGTGAAGAAAATATGACTAAGTCTGAAATGTTGTCAAAGGTAAAAATCCTTCTTGAACAACTTGGCGAAAATGTTTAAAAAAAATATTCTGAGTTAAATTCAAAAAAGTGAAGTGAATTATTATGCATATTACAAGAGATAAAACATGAATTTAATAATAATGAGGCATTTTGTAAATAAGTTTGAAATTTTTTTTTTTTTTTTTAAAAAGATAAATGAAATAAAATTCTTTTCTAAAACACTGTTTTAAAATAAAATTTTGTTCTAAATAAAAATACTGTTCTAAAATAAAATACTGTTCTAAATTCTATCCAAAATTTTAATTTATAACCAATCAATTTCTGATTTCTAAATTTGGAATAAACCTAGAAAATTCTGATCAGCAGAATTATTACTATATTAAAAAATGATCGACATACATATTTGGTATATTTCCTGACTGCAATAGATATATTGAATGCTCAACTTAATCAACAAATGTTTGCTTATTAGAAAATATATAAAGGATGTTTTATATCAAGATGAACTCATTAATCTATCTCACTCATATAAAGATCTCAATACATCCAATTTCTATACTGATGGCTCTTTTTTTAATTCTAACTTTAGAAGAGTACAAAATGAGACTAGGATGAATTTACCTAGATTTAATATGTAACTACCTAAATTCCTTTAATATTGCAGTATTACATCACTCATCATCTACTAGAGCTGAACTTTTTGCCTTTTTTACTGCTCTAATCATTTGTCCCAAACTCTTCTTGTCAACAATATATTTGGATAGTCAAGCAATTATTGACGGTTATTACAATTTTTGTCTAAATCATAATTTTACAATAAGAACTCATGAGAAAGTATCTAACTATACTGTATAGATCTTAGTCAATCATATAATCAGCAAGTTAAAACTTACTATTAAGCTAAAAAAAGTAAAAGGTCATTTAGGGGATCATTACAATATTATAGCTGATAACTTAGTAAAAGTTGGATGCTTTAAATTATCTTTATTACTCGACCTTACAACTTGTGATGATTTACAGTTTCTTCTCAGCTTTAATCAAATTCCTATTGAAACTTCAACTAGGAAATTCTGGAAAAACCTTAATACAGCTAAACAATTCTCAATATTTATGGATCTCAATAGAAACTTATAATTAATTCAACATATTCATTCTTTTGAGATTCATTAGCCTATTTCTTTTTCTGTGTTTTCCTCAAATATGAA